GTTCTTTGCGGTCTATTTATTGTTTGGTATCTGACATTCCATATTTGAAGATGAAATCTAGGCATACCATTCTTTCCGCTTACATTATGTATAATCAAAATATGAAATCAATGGAAGTAGATCTTGAGAAAATGTTGCATACAAATTAACTATTTCATTACGTATTTCTCTAACTGGTAAAAATGCTAATGATGTTATCATTTTATACTATTTTGAAATTTGTTCAAAAAAGTTTATTTTTACCGTACAAAGTGTCCGTAACTAAATTTCAACAAATTTATTTTTACAATAAAAAGTGTCCACGATATGTTATTAAACATTAGACAGTTCAAAGTGTCCGTTTACTAACTATAAGAGTGAACTAATAACAATTTATAAATACTTTGTATTTTTTCATAACTATTTAGCTTTTATTACTTACGTTTCGCGCAGCCGCAAACATACCATTTCTTGATAATATAGGCGTACTATTTTGTTCCTTTATCTATGAAATAATATACGCGAGTTATTCACCTTGATGATTACAATGAAAAATATAATAAATTTAAAGGTATAAAAAAAAAACCTTTCTATATTCATTATAGTAGCAATGAAATGTAATTTAACTTATTATTTATTTCAACGGTTACTAAAGTGAAGCTATTGCGTGATGTTCACGTTATCTGTTACCGGTTTACTACTTTAAATTATAATTATAAATAATCAACATCTATTTTCATATGTCAGAATTGTGCATTATCATTTATCACTACCATGGTTTCAAGTAGTTGCAATTATACATAATTGTACAACAATAATAAAATAATAAAATTAGTATAATTTTTAGTACGATCTCATTCCGCACCAACTTCGTACCTATAACAGATAATGAAATAAAAAAAAAATAATAATATTGTAGGTACACTAAAAATAATGTTTAACTACTTCAAACTTATTTTATTAATTCTTAATATTACATTATCTGATTATCTTATAGTTATTAAAACTATTGAAAAAAAAATAAAAATAGTTAAAAATGTTAAAATTGTAATAGTATTATAGCAGTCAACTGAATAAAAATTTTCACATACTCGGGAGTTTGATATTCATCCGGATAACATATGATGTTATTAAATTATTATTTTTTTAACAGATAAGATAAATTAAACATTTATTTTATTGTTTCCAGTGGTTTTAAGTGAAAATTTCGTTAAACACGAATAAACTCAAATGTTAACTTCTCTAACTTGGTCAGTTTTGTAAATAGAAAAAACTTTTTATACAAAAAACGTTTAAAAATATATAATCTATCTGAATATATACAAAAAAAATTAGTGTTTTACTAATTATATATCTATTACGACCATATTCAATAACGACATTAAGAATGCATTCGTTTCCACACCACCAATGAGGTAGAAGCATGGCGCGTTTTTTTTCATGGTTTTCCCGGTAGGCCTAGTCCCCATGTATAATAATAAATTATATCATAGTTTTCGAATAATCAAGACAAATTAATAATTATTACATTTTAATTATTATAAACTTCGCTCTCGTTTTCTTGAATTTCTTTTTAATTTTTTCCACATTTTAAGTTTGTCTTTTTCAGATACTCATAGGCTTTGTATAAGTTTTTAAATTTATGTAATGAAAAGAAAGGGTTTTGATCCTATAGTTGGTGTATATTAAATATTTATGTTTATAACGAGTTGTCATGCGATATTATATTTTTTTGGTTTATCCATGAGTTAAAATGTTTAACAAATTTTATAATATCTTAAAAATATACAAATTGTTTTTTAGTTAGGGATAATAAAAATTATTATTTTTATATCTAAGATTTAAAAACTTAATTCAAAATTCCTCATTTATTTTTTTACTTAATTTAAAAAAAACATTTTTCAAAAGCGTTTGAATTTCAAGTTTGTACACTTTTAAAATAACTTTTCTTAAAATGGTATATGATACTTGATTGTAGATATTTAAAATTTTCACTAAACACGAACATTTTAAGATTTTTTTTTAGTTGGAAATTTATAAAATAATCTATTTTAATAACTAAAGATTGACAATTTAAGACAAAATTTCTTATAAAAAGTTTATGTTGAAACTAAAGAACCCAAAAAATATATAACTACAATTTTTTTATAGACATTTAAAATCTAAATTTTGACAAAATTTACATATTTAAACAATACAATTAACAATGTTAATTATTTTTTTATGCTTCTACATTATTATTCACAGAGATTTTTTTATTTAAAATATTAAAAAAAAAAAAATTAATTTGTCATGTAAGTATAGGATTATTTTTTTTTTTTGTTAAATAGGTTGAAAAAGGTATAAAGAACTTTGTATAAAATTTTAAATTTTGAATACAAAAATAAAAATTTTCATAAATTTTTAACTACAAAATAATTTTAAAATTTTCGAGATTTCATAAATTTTATCGAAATTCTTAATTTAAACGCTTATGAATAAATACCATGACTATACATTTTTAAAATGTCTTAATTGGTAAATAAAAAATATTTATGAGAAATCTTGAAATACATTTTAACTATTTTTATCTAGTGTTAAATTTTTAACAACATTTACATATATATATAAAAATTTAAATGAAAATGTATATAAATAGCTTTAAAAAAAATTTAAAAATTGTATTTTTTATAGAAAGTTTTTATTTAAACATTTGGTGAAAGTATCTATAATTATTCGTTTTTTTAGATAAATAAAAAAAAAAACTAAATTAATTTTATCAAAAATTGATATTACGTTGAAATTGGCATTTTCCTTAATTTTTTTTGTCTTTTCCTAAATAAAAAAATAAATAATGGGAATTATTAATCTATATACTATGTGTTTACAAATTTAGGGAATATCGAATCTCGCAGTCGGATTAAATTGGAATAAATTTAATTTTTTTTACAAGCTAGTGGAATATAAATACACATTTGTAGATAAATTTCAAAATTTTTATCGTTTCGGTATGCGCATGTATAATAAAAATTTTTTTAATAGCAACACCTATATTGAACAACATATTTGGATAGGCCTACTTTTTTTAAGTAATTTTGATGCATTGTAAAAAAAAAAAAAAAAAAAACTAAAAAACCATAGACAATAAAATAAAAATTGAAAAAAAAAACGAAAATATAATTTTTCTATGAATAACCTTATATTATAAGAGTAAAAGTAGTTGGTAAAAATATTTTAAAAATTACGCCATAAATAGAAATTTATAGTATAAGCATTTGGTAAATATTAAAATATATCATATATAAACAAAACTAAATTAAACAATATTTATTCCGTCGAAAACTATTATTGTTTTTGTTTTTTTAAAAAATATTAATAATTTTCTATTTGTAACTTTTAAAAGTACCAATAACATCAAAATTTCTATCAAAAACCACCCTCAAAAGAGTTTTTAGACAAAATAACATATATAAAATTATAAAATCAATACACGTAATATATCTTTGCTAAGAATTTAATGTGAATATTAGATAAAATGTATTATTTTTATAATGGTTATTTAATAATTTAAGTTAATCTCAGGCACGTAATCAGAAAATTATTTCTATTGGTGGGGGGGAGGGGGGACATCTTTTTCTATAATTTGTTTATTTGTTTCCTATGAAAAACTTATAGAAGGCTTCTCTCTCCATACTCTCCCACCAATCTTAAGTTAGGATTACCCTATACCAAGAGACTAAATTATTTTAAAATATATGTTTAAAAATAAATGTTTTTATTACTAAATACTAGTTGCTGTTTGAATGCTGAACGAGCAACACGTATGTTTCTCGCTTCTAGTGCCATACATGTTTATTGTATTATTTCCAGTAATTTAATATCATCAAAATGATAACTATACAGATTTGAAATTGGTAAGTATTTGCATAGTATAATTAAATAGGCCATACCGTGCACTAACGTACTGGTGGTTCCCACCGGAGCGTGACGTGCACTACATAGAAATGCCAAACAGAAATGTAACATATGCAATATTGCATCAGGCTACAGTGGCGTAGTCAGGCGGGTTTTAACTTTTAAGTGTTATAAACTCCCATTGATTTTTTTTATCTATAAGTAAGATAAAGATTAAGAAAATTATAAAGAATATATCCTCTGCATCGTGGTTGCCTTCCATGCACCATGGTCCACGACTCACGAGTCACGACTAGTTACGAAACTTGATACTATATAGTTGCGTGTAAAATATTATATTGGGCTATTGATATTCAGTGTCGATGTTTATTTATTTGAATAAACGCCTGGTAGTCTCAAGTATAGATTTAATACACATAAAGAGATGTCATATTACAAAAATAGGCTTATTAAATAGAAAGAACTATACAGTTGTGGTACATGGGATAGAAAATAAACGTAACAAATAAAAAATTTGATTATTATTATCTAATTAAATATACTAATAATTTTAATAATGACGCTCTGACAGATTATTAAAAAAAGAAATCAAAATTTAATGCATTTCCCAATGTTCGTAATCTATTGAATAGATTATTTCGTTCATAAATAGTGAGACAGGTTTTAATATGGAATGTTGAACATGAGTATTATATTGCGGTATGTGGAACGAAATGTACTCAGAAATTGAAGGGTAAGAGGTAATATCATTAACTAATTTATACAAGAAGAATATATCTGATGTATTGTGACGAGCTAAAAAAAAGTTTAGTTTTAAATTAAATTAGCTCTTAAGTCAAGTGTCATCAATATTATTCGTTAATCTTTTTTACATCCAATAAAACGAATACATTTACCAAATATAGACAAATTAGTCAATAAATAACAATGTCAGTTATTACATTAAAAATAAAATCGAAGGTTCTTCTTGCATTGTATATTCATTCACTAGTTATTTAATTAGAAACGGCCTAGCCAAAATGTTAGAGACTACATAACTATTATGGTGTGATATCCACTTATGCTTCTAATTTTTGTTCTTCTATGTACCCAGGGGCGGAGTGGGAAAAAAATTCAGGCCAGGAAAATTAATTTTCTCCAGGCCACTCAAAATTTTCAATTCCTATTAAAAATTGTATTTTATCTAATTTTGCATGTAAATATATATAGGCAGACAAACAACAAATAGGTAGGTACTAAAATATAATATAACAGTGCATGTATTTTACAGATAAAACTATTAACAAAACTATAAAACCGAAATAAAAATACACAAACCAAAATAATAATAAATCATAATTATTTTTATACCTATAGACTATAATATGTTCTAATAAAATTAAAATAAATATAGTAACTTACAAAGAATAAACTATTTTAGCTTCAGATATAATTATAATAATTGTTTTATTTATAACATTGATTAAATACTTAATCAATGCTTATAATAATAATTTGTTTAATAATTTACTCTTTTCTCCAACAGAGTTTATTATTTCGTCATTGTTAAGTTCGACTAGTGTTTTTTTCTCGATTGCCATTAACATAAAATTTTCTAAGTGTTCGTTGCTCATCGTACTTCTTAATCGGTTTTTTATATACTTCAGTGTTGAAAATGATCTTTCACACGCAACTTGTGTTACGGGTAATGTCAGTAAGAATTGATATGCCAACATCAAAGTTGGATATGTGTTAGAAAATAAACTATATTTAATTAAGGCCTTGTAACAACAAAGAGGACAATTTTGACAACTTTTGCATGGCTTTATTTTATATGAATTTGAATCTTCTTTGTCATCAGAATTTTCACTATCTTCACAATATATCATATTATATTCGTCATTTACTGATTTTTTTAAATATTTCCATGAGCTAGAAAAATGTAATAATTCTTCACATAAACTGCTTTTAATTTGTTCAACATCATTGTTACATTCAATAAATGATTTAAGTTTCAAAGATAATGTAGATAATGCACCTTTCGGTATTCCATTTTTGAATGATTCAAAATTGTTTGGCGATAAAAGAGAAAGATCAAAGTATAATGTATTATTTTTAATAAACCTTGTAGTCATACTTCGTATAATAGCATCAAATACTTTATTATAAACTTCAACTTCAAATTTTTTTGCAGCATTAATTATTGGTTCATCTTTTGTTTCATAAGTAGACATCCTTTTCTTTCTTTGAATACGTTTATTTTCAAACTGATCTTGAATATCACACATTTCTAAATCTTTCTTATTTTTTTCATCTTCAGTATTTTCAATTTCTAAATCAATAATGCGTTGAGCCTTTTCTATAAACTTATCACATGTTATTTTTATATTTTCCATATCTCGTTGGAATTTTTCTATTTGTTTTAAAGTGCCTTCGACCATTTGTTGACATTTTAATAAATCTAAGCCACTTGTTTGTAAATATCTTGATAAGGGACCTGTTATAGAAAATATTTTCATAAACATATGTGCAATGAGGATATTTTCATACTTCAATAATGATGACAATAAACAGTTAGCTTTAGATCGAATATCGGGCTTAAAACCTTCATTATTAGATATTTTAGATAGACAAATAATCAACTCAGTATACAAAGCATCGTCAAATTTATCATAAGTACCAAAAATTCTGTTAAGGGCTGTTTGCTTTGCGGTCCATCTCGTTTCTCCGATGATTTGAAGACGTTTATTTCGAATATTATCGTGATGATTATTACTTATTGACTTCCAAATATTCATACGCTGGTATGATTCTTTAAAAAATACGGCACATGAATTAATGATAGAAAAGAACGTTGCTACTTTAACTGGGTTTTTTGTAGCGTCACATATTACCAAGTTTAAAACGTGGCTATAGCACCAAACATGAACTTGTTCGGGTGCTGTTTTGCTAAGCCAAGACGTAAAACCTTTATACATGCCTTGCATATTAGCTGCGCCATCTGTAGCGTTCCCAATACAACGAGTAATGTTTATGTCTAATGAAAATAATGCAGATTGTAATAACTTCATCATACCTTCCCCTGTAGAATCAGTACAGCACTTAACAGCGACTAATTTTTCATTTATTTCTCCATGTATTACGTACCTTAGTACAATTGAACACTGGTCCATCACCGAGATATCCTGGGTAGTATCAATTAAAACAGAAAACATATCTGATTGTTTTATTTGATTTGAAATAGTAGACTTTATTAATGAAGAGATTGATGTAACTACATTATCTATTGAATAGTGACTTAAAAGAGTAACAAAACTTCCACGCCCTTGAGATCCACGTTTATGCATTTTTTCGCTCGTATTTATAATTTTATTCAAATGTTCATTTAAAACAGCGTCATATTTACTTAATAATATAATCATTTCAAGAAAATTGCCATGATCTAAGATAGGGTCATTGAGTAAATATGCAGCTTCATTATTTTTACTTCGTATACTTAAACCACGTTTTCCAATAACCTTGATAACTTCAATAATTCTCTCAAGTACTGCCCTATTTTTCTTAACTTCTTCTCTTTGTATTCTTTTTTGGTCATTTAATAATAAATTTCCAATATTTTTTTGTTTAACATGCATAAAATAAGCTTCAGAGCATTGCATATGACATTTACTTGCCTCGTGTTCTGAAATACGCTGGTATACATGTTTCCAGTCACTCATACCATTAGTAAATGCATTACTGTCAGTCGAAAAAGCCAAACAAACGGAACAAAATATTTGTTTTGAATGCTCATTGTATGTACACCAATTCCTATTTAATTTGTTGTTACGAAAAAATACCTTTTTACTCGAAAATGGTAAAATTGAATCATCAGACGGTTGTACCGGATGAATTTGAAAAAAATACATTAAATTATGAGAATTTGGTTTCTTAAATTTGTTTAATTCTACGTTTTTTTCTGGATTGATAACCGGAGTGTCATGTTGAAGTTGCATTAGAGCAGAACTACTATTTTTGGAATCTAATATTTTTTCATCGTTAGTAAACTCGTTAATATCTGTTAAATAAAAAGAAAGGGTGGTCAAGTGGGTAACTAACGGAAAACTTTTTACTTTGTTATAACTTAAAATTTATTAAATAATTTATAACTTATATGGTACCTATATAAAAATAATTTTATTTGATAAGCTTACCTTGAGAAGTATGATCCGTTTCAAATGATAAATTATTATGATCAGAGATATTTTCAGAATCCGTTGAAAGTGTAACTGGATTCCGTTTACCAAAATATGAATCTAATTTCATACATTGTTTTCCACTTAACATCAATAACTTTTTACTTTTTTCCCTCTCTCGTTCAGCGCCACCTTTTCTTTTCTTATTATCGCTCATTTTGATGAGAAATATATTAGGTTGAAATGAATATAATATTTATAAACAAAACTTTTTAATACGTATGAAATATAAATGTAGGTACCACTCGCAACGTATTTTATCTAATGACAAAATAACGAAAAAATATACTAATGTACATTTGATTCGATAGTAGCGAGGCGATAAACCGATAAGATATTGTCGTAGACCACAGATGTCCATATTATACATAATAATATAATATAGACAAAAATATAATCCGTGTCGAAGACATAGAAGGCTACAGCGAAAAATATAAACATAGATAGCGTGAACTGAACTGAAGTGGGTATATATGTACATGCGTATATTAGATAGATATAATTATAATTAAATTCGATTTCGTCTTCGTATATAGATAAATAAACTTTTCCATTACTTTACATTATTATTATCTATACTTCAGATAAACGGGTCATTTAGCTTCCAGGCCACCGGGATTTTTCCCGGTATCCCGGTGGGCCACTCCGCCTCTGTATGTACCCGTTGCACTTCCAATCTATTTTTGGGAATGTGCTCAAATGTGTTGTTCTACACAGGTACACCATGTTATAGAATCGAGTGCATCATACTATACAACAAGCATCTCTGTGACTGCTGTATTTTGAGCTTTTACTGCTGCAGTTTAGTGTGGTCTTTGTACTTAAGCTTTCTGTCAATTATAGGAACATATTTTATGATTTTGCTGAGCTTAGGCATCGTTTCATTTAATCTATTTACAGCTATTTTAGTTCTATATATTTGTACCGATTTCTGAACAGCACAGCTTCTATTTTCTCAGCGGATAAACTCAGTTTCGCTTAGAGTATGATAATATCATACGGATCAGGTGGAGGGGAATTTAAAGATTAATCAGTACGTCTAGAATCTTCAATCAGTCTACGTTGTTGAATGCATTTTTAACGTCCAGGCTTATGATTTTCTCCATTCTTTTTATCGCATATTCTGTAAATAGACTTCTCAGAAATCCATACTACCTGTCAGAAATTTCTTTTTTCTTATTAATGTAATTTTGGAATCTGTTGTCTATGAATTCCCCCATCATCATTCCAACGTCATTCAGCAGATAGTGATTTATATGATAATAGGATCCTTTCTGGCTTATGTCCTTTGCAGATAAATGTGAGATGGCCGCACTTTCAGTGTGTTAGAATTTTCTTCTGGCACACGTGATATCCTCATTACACCAGGGGACTGGTCTTATCCGTGGCATTGAGGGCTTCGCTTTAAATGCAAGGCCTACATATTTGGTTAGTTAACCTAAGCCTAGCTCAGATGATGCAATTTTGAGGTTTTAAAGCGCAACTCAGTCCTGAAGTCGAGGAGTAAAGCTGTCTTACCTAGGAAGTTTCGCATATGCAGATCGTAATTATTTTGGTACTAATTTATCCGCGTCTTTAATTTACTCGCAATAACTATTTTGTCATCAGCTTTTTTTTTTAAGGCAAATATCATTATATATGGTAAAAATATATTGCAAATTATAATATTGTTCACATATGTTAAGATAAATTTAATAAACTAAAATGCATTTGAAGAAAAGGACTATACAAATGTCATCCTTATTTAGAATACTTAGAACACAACATTATGACAAAAATTTGTTGAAATTCTTTATCTTTAACTTATTTGTACCATCTAAAAATAATAAAATAAACAATACTCAAACACATTTATGGTAATTTGTTTCACAGATATAAAAAAAAAAAAAACATTTAAATAAAAATAAAATATAATTTTTTTTTATTAAAAATAAATGAGATATCTTATTTGTTAAATATAATTTTTATTAATTTATGATTCTACTAGTATTATTTAGATAAATTAATTTAATGAAAAACTTCATAACATTATGCATTTTAGTGTTGCAGAATATTTATTGAAAGGTCAAACTAAAAATAAAATAAGAATAATTTATTTATATAGGTATATATTTTTTTTCACTGTATTTATATATATATATACTGTGAAATGTTATAATATAGTCTAACAAAGTTATTAATTATTTTATGATTTTAATTTTAGTATAATAAGTTAAGTGTACAACCATATATTAGCTGTATAAATGGTAGGTACCCTAATAATGTATGTTATGAAACTAAGTATTTTAATTTTCATTAATTTAATTTAATTTTAATCATAAATTATCTTTGTAAAATATTGATAATTTTTATATATACATGGGTTCATCCTATTTCTTTAATTAATTAAAGATTTGATTATGTATATGAAAATATACACTTTTAACTGGAAAAAAGTGTTTTATTGTAACCTATTTCACAAAAAAAATTTAGTTATATTATAATGTAAACATATAACATTTCTAACACTTTTTTTATTTTTGGAATTGAAGTATTACTTAAAATCAAAAATTATAAACTTGTGTTAGACACGTCACAATTGTATATTTTTTTATTATATAATATGAAGTCTATTTTGATCATAAAAGGAAGGATCAGATGAAGAAGATGTTCAGTACAATAAATTTTAATTAGGTAATGTTTTAATAATAAATAAATAAATAAATAAATAAATAAAAAGTTGTTATTTTTGATTTACGTAAAACAGATTATCTTAAATGTTTTTTTTTCAAATAGTCTTAGTTACAGGTAAAGTATATTTTTAAAATAATAATATTGCTTTATTTAAATATATTTCCAGTTTTTTTTTTTTTTTTTTACAAAACAGGCTATTTCTTGATATATTATGATTTGCACAAAAATAATATTTAAATACTTAAAAAAAAAAGATTGAGTTTTATTAAGTCTAACTTTGGCAATGTGCTTTAACTTAAATTTTACCTTAGTACATACTAATTTGCTGCAGAATGAATAGAACATAAAACTTCAATATTTTATAATTTTAATCTAATTCCTTGCATATTGTTTTTTTTCTTTTTTAATTTTATTATGTATTTTGCTTTAAATCTATTTAATTAATTATTGCTCCTATATTGTAAATTTTTTAGTTAGCTTCATCTTATATGTCTAAAATTAAAAAAAAAACAATTATAAAGTAAATTAACTATATTAATATGAATTTACCTATATAGTCAAAATATTGTAAATTGTGAACTCATGGACCTCCAACAAACTTGTCCAATAAGACATAATATTGTAGTTCATTATATTTTTGAATAAATAAACAATAACATTAACAATGTGATGGATATTAAAATTTAAAACAGAAAACAAACAAGTAAATTAAATAGTCACTGAATATTAATTATTAGTCAATAGTCAGTCCTTTACTCATAAAGTGTTTTTTCATGGGACTAAAAAAAACCAACAGCTTGCTAATAATTAAAAAGAATAATTAAAATAAATAATAGTTACAGTCATTACAGACATATTCATTAAAGTTATCAAACAATTTTAATCCTTTTAAAATTAAAGAAATAAATATTACTAATATTAGTTCATTAAAATTTAACTATATTAAAAAATAATATGATCTAAATTATTAGGGTGAAGTCTGTTTTGGTAGTCATTTGTCAAATGATCAGTTTTTGAAAATACCCATTTAAAAGGTATAGAAGTTGCAGGAACACTTAAATATTGAGTTGGAATTTATAAAATTCCAGAAATATATTTTTGTGTTGACTCCAAAATTGCAAAGGACATTTATCAAGGTTTAAGTACCTAGAGAACTTCTAAGTTTAATAAAAGCATCAGTAAAGTTGAAAACTCAATGGACAAATTAGTTTTTATTTTTGAGAATACTATTGATCTGTTCCCATAATTAAGTAGGTTTAATGTACATTGGCGATGTAGTAGATACTATGTCTTTATCATGGGTATTTTTCATTATAGTGGACTCCATCGATTAGGTATCTATTTTTTTGCATTATTTACATTTTCAGCTACTACTCCCACACTAATGGTATTTTAAAATGGTGCCATAACAAAAATAAAACTTAAAATACTTAATTCAACCTGTAACTTGAGTAGATGGTTAATTGATTAAGTGTAGAACGAATTAAACTAAAAATGAATTAGCGTATCACCTTACTTGATATTTACCTAGTATATTCACGATTGAATAATAAATATTAATTGATAACACACTAGAATCTATAAAATAGATATATTTCTTTTTCGAATTTGTAATTTTGAATTTCAGAGTTTACTATAATAAGAGTTTAGATTAAATAATAGGAATATCCATTAATTAACACGTGAATCATTAGTTACTTAATATTTCAAGTACTCGTAGCAATATCAAACATTATTATTTAATAGTTTCGACTAATGTATAGAAACATACAATTAGTTTATCATTTGATTACTTATATAACCATTTCAAAATGTGAATCATAATTCATTTGAATGAATTTTCAATTATTTATATTTCAACTAGGTACATTAGTGGCATTTGATTATTTTTTTTCTGATTATTAAAATATTCGATTATTCCCATCACTACTTAGCACTTGCAGGGAGCAGACTCTTTAGTGGTAAAACGTAAAACATTTGAAGTTCGTTTATTACCAATATGATCCGAAGATATTTGTATTAAACATTTATTAATTATTATCATGTAACGATGATATAAAAGAACATCAGATGGTTGAAAAAGTCGATTAGTGATAGGAACATTTTATTTAACATTAAACAGTTTTCAGTTTTGAGTATTTTGGCAAAAAATGATCGTCAAAAAGTTTTTTGTAAAATAAATGTTCTAGATACTTCCGCAAAAATGTGCTTAGGGAATAGTCAATAGTTTCAATATTCGTGCTCATTTGCTTAGACACTTGGAAAGATTTTTACCTCCATCAATATTCGTATAGTTTTTGTTCTTATCAATCCCGTTTGCCATTTATTTAATATGATAGATAATAAAATTGTTATCAAACATGCCAATTGCAGTTATCTGTTATACTTTTTTTCCAGTTTATTGTTTATATATGTCTACCAAAGGATGATGATCAAACTTTATCGAAATTGTACGTTGGAATTTTAAAATTTGATCAACGTTAATCGAATTACATCATGAACCAAACACTGAGGCATCTGACTTTCGTTGGGCGAGCGTTCGCGAACAATCATTTACGTCGGAATACATTTGCTCAAATCTGGCCGGCGTTTACGTCTTCGTCAGCACTTTATTCACACGTGAACTCGGAAAATCATAACGCTCACAACATACTGGTCAAAGATCCTGGATATCGCGCTACGGTTGTCAATCCAGATGCGCTCGCTATCAACTGGCCAACAGCAATTACTGCTCAGCAGTTCCACACGCTCATCAACCAAGATTTTAGTGTTAGGACTAGTGATGAGATGTACAAAGACTTTACAGCGATCAGCTTGTACATTGTGGGCAAAGACTGCCTACTGACTGATACAGTGTATGATGGTCTCAGGGATCGCCTGATTTGTGTCTTGCCACAGATGACTGACGAGCAGCTGTTGTCCATACTTGCTCTTATACCATTGTGGAACACCAAAGATGCCAAGAATCCTGTCTATTATCGTCTGTGGTCTGAGTTTGATCGGCAGTGCATTGAAAGGCATAGGCGTTGGACTCTTAACAAGCTTTTGCTGTTCATGGACCACTGGTACTTAATGAGACTGTCTAGATTGAGCAACTTTGTTTGGATGGGTGTCAGGAAGCTAGCACGTAAGCCATCAAGGTAAAATACATTGATAACAAATTTGGTATTCTCAAATAAAATGTTGTTCATTAGTAATTATTTAAAATATGTATTATAATGATCAATTTATGACAATTCAATTTATTATAAATAGAACTCTTAATAGGTATATTATGCTAGACCAGCAGCTCTTGAATTTTTTTGACTCACACATTCCCAAAAATCAAAATAAATTAATCATTCCTTTGAATAAATGAGATTATATAACAGGGGTGGCCACTAACCTTAACTTTGGGAGCCGCAAATTTATAAAGCTAATTTGAGGCGAGCCACATTGTAAAGTGATATTTATGAAATTAAGACACATTTTTGGCTATACATACTAAATGCACCGCCACCGTGCCAATCTATACCTAATAATGACTGTAATGATAACAAAATCGATGGTAATAAAAATGCTATCTAACGTTTCTAACAATTCAAACAAATTTTATATTTATTAATTTTAGTCTAAATTTAGTTCAAGAGTCGCACGAAACTAAGAGTCTCATGCGGCTCGCGAGCCTTGTTGTGGCCATCCCATTATATAATATGTAGATACATTATAATTAGTTGTAAATTATTTACTATATTTTTAATATTTCAGGTTGACTCCCAAGCAATTAGTTCAGATGATGTTTTATGCTAACACAAGTAGAAAGTTTTTGCCAACATTACCTATGTATGATATTGAACAAGAAATATGTTCTTATTACAATGACTTTAGTATTAGAGAATTGGGTATAGTATCTTTAGGATTCTTTAAGACACAAACACCTATACGTAATCAGGAGCTTGTAAAAAATCTGTACAACTCTGTAATTAAAGATATTTCAAACATTAATAGCATAGAATTGGCTGCATTTTTAAAGGTACTTAAGTATTTCTTAATGATTTAATTAAGAATCCTATACTCTATCTAATAAAAAAATATGTACCGTTACCCAAAAAAAATTTAGCTGTAGGGTTTTTAAAAATTGGTATTGGTGCAGTAGTATGTTATCTTTAGCATTATGTATGCATCACAATCCTATCCTAAAATATCTCTATTTCTTTAATTTTTATAAAAACATGATTTTTTTCTTGAAAACCATAAAAAAAAATATTTATTAACAAAATAAATTATAATTCTTTTTTTTCATATTTAAATATATTTAATAAAATCTATTTTAAATTAACTCAGTACAATTTTAAAACTAAAATGTTAATTATTATTCCAACAGAAGACGCATAAATTATATACTAGTACAGGAATTTATTTAATAACTTAACTATGTTTTCAAAGACATTTGTGTTTTGATTATCTTGACTTATATAAGTATTATTTACTAATTTATTAGTTATTATTCATTAAAGCTATGAATTTTTAATGTACTAAATTAAAAATTAAAATTAAAATATACTTGCACATATGAACATATGTTGGAAAAATGCAGTTATACCAAATAAACTTGACTTAAATTTACAACTATTTTTATATAATTTATTTATTTTTATTTGAATAGTAGTGTTAATTAATATTTTTTAAGCATTAACAATGTATTTAAAATTTTAAACAAATTTATGTTAGGAACTAAATTCAATTTATGGAAAATATTTTTAACATTTGAAATTGATAATATTTTTTTATTTAATAATGATAATAGTAAATAAAACCCCAATTTTATGAAAAATATATAAATTTAAAATTAAAATTAAAATTTATAAAGAAATTCATCAATATGCAAAAATATTAAATTTACATTAATTTGTTATTATAAATATTGCATTTTTCTAAATAAATTTTTATTTTTATATAGATATTTAGGTATTGCTCAAAGCACCAGAATGCAGATTATATGTACAAATTAATGGATGCTCTAATAAATAAAGTTGATGAAGTAAATTTAGTATGCTGTGTACATATGGCTCTATTGGGTACTAATTTGTTGATTAAACATGAAAACCTATTGAAAAAAATATCGCAACGCATAGTTGATGAAATATCTCTAACAAGAATTAAGGTAATGAAGAAATAAAACAATACATTTTATTTAAATAAATAAATATAATAATTTTTTTTTTAAGGATTTAGAAAGGATAACTTTGGCTTTAACTATGTTGAATTGTAATCCGCAAACAACGCCATGTATATTTAAGATGATTGTTAAGGAACTTCAAAGCGATACAAGAAATGTTGAATTTGAAGAACACACTAGATGTTATATTTATACTTTGTCATACTTAGCTCTGAAAAATATTTACCCCTATGATTGTATTTCAAAAGCTTTAAAGATTGAAACACTAAATAAATGTTTTGGTAAGTTACAAAAAAATAGGTATGTATAAAGTACTTATATACTAGGAATCTTCAATAATATTGTTTTATTTTTTCAATATTAATTTTATTTTTAAAAAAAAAAGTAACAATATTTCTATCACTAACAAATAGCATTTTTCTTGAATATAAAGTTTTTAACATTTAAATCAGTTAGTTCCAGAATTCACTAAATGCATTTTCTACTGTTACTATCACTAATTTATATTTTATATTGTAAAATAATTAATAATTTTTAATTTTTCAAAGATTTATAATCAAAAAAAAAAAAATACCTCAATAATAATATTGTATCATATTACTTAATACTTACTTAAATTTGTTTTTTTATCCTTAAAATTAAGAAATTTAAGACTAATACAAGACATTTATCTTACCTAGCATCAATCTAGTTCTTATTTGAGAAATACTATGCTAAACTTTGCTGGAAAGACATTCACTCTGAACACGTTTAGTGAGAACATTTAAATTGAGTTACTTTTTTCCAACTTGTCAATAACAGACAATTTGTATGTATTAGTTTTCTATCAATTTTTTTTTGGAATTCTTTTCGACTGTTTGTACAGTTTTAGCTGCTGTAAATTACACACCTGATACATTTTTATGCTCATCATAGTTGTTGAAATCATTGTTTTTGTCATTACTTTTTACAAGTAAATAATGTCTATATTTTTACATCTTGGTGTATTAATGTATCTTTCTTTCTTCAGTAAGTTGTTCTGATATGGAATGCTATTTTTTATTTTCATCGATATGGTTCAGATCTGAATTTTATAATAATCCTTCTAGTATTTTTTATGTATTTTCATTTTCTTCAACCTATAAACATTTTAAATTATAATAACATGAATTCAAAGCAGTGATTTGTGTTTAATATCTCCCTCATAGTTTTTTTATATTTTAAGATCAGAACTAATAATTGATTCTAAATTTTTTATAATAAATAATACTGTCTGTGTGTTTATATTCAACAGAAATTTTTAATTTTTTCAATAACCTCTTAATATTAGATAACATATTTATCAACATTAAAAATTATGGTAGGTTTTGGTTAATTTTTAAAATCTTCAAAATATTTATCAAATCATTTATTTTTTTTTTAATTATTGTTATTGTTATATATTAGTCTTAGGTCAAGCTCTCAAATAATTATTCACAGCTTTATGTTTCTTTGTTTCACTTAACATCATTTTATATGTAAGGTTCCACCTTGTAACACAATTTTGTACCAATTTGTAGGAATTTAAAGTTTGTTCTGTTATGCCTGATTGTGTTGAGCCACTATATTTCAAAGAAAATGGCCAACTATTTATGTAGATTAATGAGTAGTTAGTTCCTAACTCAATTGTTATATAAATCAGACTTTAATAAACAGTTGTATGCTATGAGCTGAACTTTTGACCATATTTACTTGTCCCAATTCTTGAGTAGTATTAATATTTCACACACTATTATATAGATTCTGTTATCAATTCTCCAAATATCCTTCTTAATTGCATTAAGATTATTAATAATATAAACATACAAGACTCTTCAATATTAATTATTTCTAATCCTGTAAATTTTAAATCCTAAATTTTAATAAAATAACATGTAACTTCTAAATAGCTATTAACGGTTTGTGATATCCAAAAATTACTTTATAAACAAATATTTTGTGTAATGTCAGCTACAAGAAAACACATAATTTGTGTCTAATGATTATAAATCATTATGATAATATGGTATATTTCATCTTAAATATTCGAATAATATTGTAAATAAATTCTATTTTGTCACAAAATTGAATTTTATTATCAATATTTTTAGTTAATTAATGCTTATATTTCTTAAAAAAAAGTTGAAAATTTATAATATTGATGTTGTTGAAGATCCCTAATATATATAATGTATGGTATAATTTAAATTATTGACAATACATTTTAGATTGTTATTAAAAATGACAAATACTTTAGATACTCTGTTATGTTGTTGTATATTATACATAATGAATTAGTATCTTAATCTATCTAATTAATTTTACTTAAATTATTTCTGAATTAAAATACATAAAAACTAAACTAAAAATGTTTAATAAAATAAAATGTAGCATACACATTTTAATAATTTAAACCTTGTTCAAAATATTTTAATAAATATAACAACAACTAATTATGAGTATAACTGTTAAAAGAAAACACTATATTTTATTATAAATTGAACAAAAATTGTGCCAGTAGTTATCTTCTATTTTTATTTTTCTTACTTTTTATTTCATATTAATTTCTGAGGTCAAATACTCATTATTTGCTATTAAAATGAATTGATTTTTTTATATTATTGACTGTATTGACCAAAAGTAAAATTATTGATTACACTTTACCAATTAAAATTAAGTATTATTATACAAAAAATGTACTTAAGTTACTGATTCATAGCAATAATTCATAAATATATGTAAATTATATGTTTTATTATTTTGAGTTTAGCTTAATTCAGTATCAATAGCATAATAATAATATTATTTTATAATTACAAACATTGTTATTTTGTTAAGTAGCTTAAATAAATTATGTTAAATAATAAGTTATATTTTTAGGAAAAAGATTATCCAAATTTAATATAACACGTGATATTGTAAGTTTAAACAATAGTGTGCTATTAGAATGTCCCGACTATTCTGGTTCATTATTACCAGTTACATTAAATGAATCTTGCAATGAAGTAAGTTATCTATTTTTATCCATATAATTTTAAGTGTAATTAAAATGATATATATACTTGTATAAGTAATACTTAATTATTTCTTTTATTATTAAAATAAATAATATCTTTTTGGACGGTGTTATTGTATCTACATTGAAAAAAGTTTTGAAATTAAATTACCAGATAACTTTATTTTTATTCAAAATTATTTTATAAGATATTAATATATTTTGTTTTTTTTTTTTGAGAAATTCGAAAATGTTTTGAATAGTATCATAAGTTAATAATTATAATAATGTATAATTATATATTTATCTTAAGAATAGTTAAATATTATTAGTATTATATTTAAACGGAGTACGTTATCTAGTTTAAAAATTAAAATATCAAAAAAATTCAGTGGTAAAATTATACTTCTGATTTGAAAAATTGCTTAAATATTTATGATGTAGAAAACTAATTTATTAAATTTGAAATAATATCAAAAATATTATTAATACATATTTTTGACAAAATAAGTCTATCATAAAATCATGATCTGAATGAATTGTAATTTAAAATATTGATTATCTTACAAAGTTTATGATAGATAATTATTAAATATTTTATTTATTTATTACAAATATAATTTTGTAAATGTCTAAAAAAATAAAAAAAATATATCCAAACTACAAATATATAACTCATGTGGAAATTGTAATATCTTAAATTTAGAAAACTTTAATAATCTTGCTACTGGATAGGTATTTATAAATTAATAAAGTTATCAAAATTAATCATGAAAAATGGTATGATGAATTTTAACAAACAAATTTTTCATAGTCAAATTACATTTTTTGTTAGTCAATAAAACATCATTTTAATCCTTAAGTATTTAAAAATTCAGTATAAATATTTTTATAATTTATCTTCATAATAATAAATAATTATAATTTTTTGTTTGCTTTGATTAAACACAGATCCCAATATTTTCTATATTTAGTACTTAAAAATAATAAATTAAAATATAACTTTTTAATTTTATTGTATTTTATATTTTAGCATTTAGCATGGCATATACCTACTTCAAATACTTTGACTAAATTAAGTACAAATGACAAAAACTTTATTAAATTGTACAAGGAGCTTCTAAGTCTATTCAAAAACGAGTCCTATTTACATGTGTGTTACCCTCTTCCTCATCATCCAAAATCTGGTAATTGTTGTGTTTATTTAATTTCTAATTAAATTTTTAAAATTTTATTCTTTTTCCATTATTGTATTTCTAGATATAATATTTTGCATCAATACTAATGGTGAACCAGTGCCAATTCCTGAAACAATGAAAAATAGAATTGTATTCAATGATTTTAAAAAACCACCAGAACTAGGAAAATGGTTTGCTATAATGTCTCTTGTAAGAAATTCAGTACTCTATTATAGCAATGAATACAATGGTTTAACATTATGTAAAATCAGACAACTTAAGAAACTTGGTTATGAACCAATAGTGGTAAAAAAATTTGTATACATAATTGTTTAGTATTATGATTTTAAAAATCTAATTTTGCATTTATATTAAAGTATTTTTTTCTTAACAGAACACTTTAGAGCACTGAAATTAAAATACAAATTATTTTAATTTATTTACTATTTTGTTTCTAATTATATCTTGTCTATTTAATGATCAATATTTTCATTAATGTTAAAATTAACATCTTCTGAGAACCACCATGTATGCATTACAATGGGTATTAATTAATTTTTTAAAAATTTTGAATGTATAATAAATTATTCATAAAAATTGTATTTTTAAGTCTTAACATTAAGTTCTTAACAAAATATAAAATAATTCTTGTACCGTCATATTGCTTTAGCAATTTATTTTACAATATAATTATTTTAGGAATGAAATGAATAATTTAAAAAATACCATATACATTGTTTAATGCACAAACCCTAATTAATATTATTATACCCCCGTTGTCAGTGTATTAATATTAATAATCAAGCAGTATTATAATTTTGTATACATCCTAAATAATTTTATAATTTTATAATTTTGATTATTTGTTTTGCAGTTTACTGTTAAAGAGTTGGGAACTGATTATGATTTTCAAACATTAATATCAAACAAATTTAAGAGCCATGGAATAACTTTTGATTGAAAATACATACTGCTTAGTTTTTATTTATATTTAAAATATAAATATTTATAATAAGTTATTAATTAGTCATTATAGACAATTATTGCTATGTAACTTTCTATTATATTTTTTTTAGTTATAAATATAATTTGTTAAATAAATCAGTTATAGCATAATTATTAAATATTATAAAAATAACTATCTCTAGTTATTATTTTTATGATTTTGTAAATTGATGCTAAGTAATCAAAATGGTTCTTTGCAAATGTAACATTTATAGTACCTAATTAGGCATTGATTTTATTATTTAATAATTTTACTAGTTTCTGAAACATATAAATGCATTTTTAAAATTATCAATTGTTGATAAATAAAATTTAAAAACATGTTCATCATAATTAATGTGCATGCATATGTGAGAATTTATACAGTTTCCTGATGAGGTTAAAGCACAATTACTGCAGAAACTAACATTAATATAAATTTTCTTAACATCCTCAGCTTTATCATAGTAAACATAGTAAATTGCCTATATATTACCCCTTAGAATATGACCAAATAGAACCACCTCAACAAAGTATTTCAAATTTTCTTTAGTAATTTACTGAAAATTGTATTATTTTAATGTATTATTGTACTTAATAATTATATAACTTTTAAAAGTAAACTTATTTTGACATTTTAAATGCAATAATTTTATTAAATTTATATACTCGTATATTTTTGATTAAAAAGTGTTACACCTAAATAACAAACTAAAATACTTATAAATTATCAGCAATAAAATACATTAACTAAAAACTGACTATGATTTTTAAAAGAAAAGTTTTTTATTCATTCAATTAAGTTAAGTAAAAATTAGTTGATCGATAATTCATTGAGGCTGATAAACTGTTTAAAAATGTATTATATCTGTAACATTGGAATCTTTTTGATTAGATCTGATGCAGATCCTTAATATTATTTCCCCTTATTATTAATATTTATATTTATATGAGTATTTTATTGTAGGATGTCTTGGACTGTCATTGCATTTATCATTTGAAATCCAATGAAAATATTTATTATGTTTGGATGATAAATTTACTTTAGATGTTAGAACTTGTTATTCTATTTTTTCACAATATAATTCATCTAAGTATTCTAAATCGTTTAGACACTCGAAATGCGGATTTTCAATTTCTCTTCCGTGTGTGTATGTGGTAAGGGGGAAACCATAAAATATAGTATGTATTTCAAAGACATTATTGTACTAATAAAATCGATTCTTTTATTTTTGCAAAGTTCGGTCAATAGAACATCAATGCATCAATGGTTTAACAGTTTGCATCCATATGTATCTATATCATTGCTAAGTTGTGCAATCTAGTTTGAATATAAAACCGAGATACAAGATACATTTGTATCTAAGATATTTGTATCGAAGGACGAAGATACTGACCAACCCTGTCAATAGGAAATATATGATCTCATAAAGCTTCTTGATGTACAATATAATAAAAAGAATTAATTCGTGTTTCAAATTTTGCCTTAAAATAGCAATAATTCTTTAACACTTACCGTTTTACCAATAACGTTTGGCGATCCATCCATACTGTGGACGTAGTATTATATCGCACTATTAAGATGAGTTGAGCACTTGTACGATATCTTATAAGTCACATAACTCTCGTTTGCAAAGGAAAATACAGACGATAACCATATAACTGTCGTTGAGTTACATTTTCGACCGTTCTAATAATTCTATCATTAACAATTATTTTAGACACTGAAATTTCCTCTGATTATTTCTGTTTTATTTTTAAATGTCAACAAAATATATCCAGACATGTGTAAAAAATGTTTTTTTTTTTTATAAATTCATTGATTCTAAACGGTTTTCAAGAAAAACAACTGCAGTTAAATTAGTCTAAAAATATAAACGTTCCATAATATAAATAAATTAAAATGTCGAAGTTGATACGTATCCAAAAGAACTGCTTATAACTTTGGAATCACAGGTTGTCGACCTTTTTTGTATATAGAGTTTGATTCACATAGGTATCTACGTATTGTTAATTTCATTAAATTGTACAGGTTTATTCGTAAATCGTAATGTATCATAAAATATGAACATGAGTTATCAGATGATGTTTAAGTATTATTATCAATACATTAATACTTGAATTAGATAAAAATGTAGAAAAATACATTAAATAATCTTTTTCATGAATCATTTTGACTGGTTAATCAAATAATATAGGTACATTGATTTACTTCCGCAGAATAAAATATAATACATACATTGTTACATTGATTTATTTCTTAAGATTAGAAAGGTTATGTAATATTTTACTTAAAAAGTGTATTTTCATCGAAAAAAGTGAAAATTAAAAATCAAATGTCAAAAGTTTATATATAATATACCAAAACCATGGTTTTTACAATAATACCAAAGTTATGAATAATTAAAAAAATATATATTATATTTTTAATTAACTATCAATTTCTTTTACAATATGTATACATTGGAAAATTGGTAAAATTGTATAAATTTAAATCCAGCAAAACTTCAATTATCCGGGCATCAACTGGATAACTGCAACATTTTTGAAAAAAAAAAAAATACATTTTTATTTTATATTTTAAAATTTAAATTAATTTTATTTCGTACGTTTAACAATATTTATTTATTTTATCATATTATATTTATTGTTCATTAGTTTTATTTTTAATTATATAAAACATTTAAATTCATGTTCATTTTATACTTTTAAATTGTTTATCCGTACAAATCGATTATCCGCGTCTCTCTTGATCCTAATTATTGCGGAAAATGGACGTTCTATTGACCATTATATTACTCTTCAAAAGTTCAAAAGCTATTAAAACACTTAATCTTTGAACAACATTACAATAAAGATAAAATTTATTACATTAAGTAAAATATAATATTAATAACTGTATAAATTAAAAAATAATATTTTTTATCGTTTCAATTGAGAAATTTAAATACGTAATTTAAAATTTTATAAAAGTTTCAAAAGATTAATCAAACTATATAAATGCTTAATTCAAACTGCTCAGTTAGAGAAAATAGCTTGAAGGAAGAGAGAAAAAAATGTATATTAAATGAAAACTATAACAATTAAATCTGTATTAGTAAGATAAATTTGAAGATTCTTATTCGCATTTAAAAGACTTAACCATTTTACTTCATTTTTCAATTACATTTTGTTGTTTTAAATAATGTTTTATTGTCAAGTTATATAAAATAATAAATCATTTTTTAATTTTTTAAATAAATGCAATTTGTATATTTTGTATATTGATAATTTAATATTTTAATTTATATAATCTATTATACCTTAATCATTCCGTTTCCTGATTTGGATACGAGGTACTTTTAGTGACTTAGCACAGTAAATATAAATAATAAGGAATAGTTTCTAATTTAACCATTTACATGAAAAGTAAAATATGCTTAGGGCTGAATAAGCAAAATTGAAATTATGGAAATGATATGCTACAAAATGTTTTCATAACAACTACCAATATATAGTATTATTACCTATATCATTTCGTTCCCAGTTTTGAATACGAAGTACAATAATTATTTGTTTTTGGAATTGTTGAGGGCTATATATTGGCATGGGAGATATTAAAGACCTATTGTGATGTGAGAAAATATCTTAAAAATATTGTGAAGATAATTTATAACCAACAATCTGACGTTTACTGTAGGTCTAGTAAAATATAGTAAAATAATAGTAAAATTATTAAATTAATTTAGGCATACACAAGCAAATCGAATTTGGTACGATTACTAAATTCTATATTGTAGATTTACTACACTTTGAATTACTTGAATATTATTCGATTGTACCTCCAAAAATGTAAAAAATAATAATAATAATGATGATAACTTTTTTTTTTACTTTTAAACTAAACATGCATAAGATAGACAGCAAACATAAATTTGAATAAGACAAATTAACTAAAACAAATAATGTTTTATGTTAAAATTTCTGTAATATTTGATCAATGATAATTGTTTGATATTAAATAGACATATTATGTTATGAAACATTCATTTTAATTTGCAGCCATCAGTTTATTCTTTCATCAATCTGAAATCTGAATACAACCTCTAGTTTGTCTGTAATAAATTGACCGGCTTTTAAATTGTGGAACACTTATTCATGTTATACTCTATTACTTACTAGTAGACTATGAAAACCAAATCTGAATATTAGCGCCAAGCATAGAAAATCCATCTGTGAATAAATCTTGTATCCAAAAATTTTAAACTTATTCAACTGAAAAATTATATTTATATTTCTTGTTAATTCTTTAATTGTCACGAAACCATAAAAAACGTAGACATTATTGGGCAAGAGTGTGAATTATGTCTATCGGAAATTGTAATAGATAATACTATAATTTATAAAAAAAAAAATACATAATGCTATAATATACTAAATAACAAAAAATCAACACTACTAAGACTGATGGGAATAAGTACTAGAAAACAGACTAATGAATCTATTAGGATTATATTGAGAAGGAATTGGTAATGTGATTGAGTATTAACAGGCTATGACTAGAGTTAAGATTTGTATTACCTACCTTAAGAACTCAAAAAATGCATGCAATTATTAAAAAAAAAAATATCAAAATATGCCTTTAAATAAATCAAATATGACATTAATAAATACGATCAATTTTTGAAAATTATTTTTATATTATTAAACAAATGTGAAAAAAGATTTATAAAATTGTTTATGCTATTAAGGCTATATTATTTTGAGGTTTTCAAACAGGAACTATTATCTTGTCTGTTTCACTTTTAATTTAATTCTAAAAAAAATTTAATTTAGTTAAAAATAATATTAATACTATCATTGTAATTTTGTGCATGCTATCTGAATTAATTTTTAACAATAAAACTTTTTTTGAAATTTTTGAACAGAAACTTGAGTCGGTTGTCGGATAATTCATTTTTATAGATTGAAAAATTACATTCAACATCAATGGATATAGCCGAAGTT